TCCAGCAAGAATGCTTCCTGTGGACCATTCCAGCCACCTGCTCCTTCCGAGCAGGGCCTTCCATCCCTCCCTTCTGCAACTGACATACAGCATTCCACCACTGCTGAGCATCCTCAGGTCACTTTAAACTACTCTTGTTTTATATTTTAAAAATCTGCAAAGCCCAGCATCTCTCTTGAACTGATACTTTTACTCCTTCTCAGCAGTTCAGTTTGGTTCCGGTGCTCTGGACACCCACCACCCAAGTCTGCTCTTAGAAGGTGAGATATGCAGGACCAGACACATTATTCAGCCAAACTGCTGAAGCCACTCCACAAAATTGCCCCAGAAACTTTCCCTGGATAAAGACAAGCATGAGAAAAATAAAGGAGAAAGGGTCTACAGAACGGCCTTGCCAGTTCCTAGATTAGAAAATACATATCTTTGCTGACCCTATTGGTATCTCAGTAGGAGTAAGGTCTCATCTCTTACTCTTGTTCTCAACAATACTGTGTGTAGGGAAAAAATTGCTTAAGCTTTTGTCTCTATAAGTTCCTGGATCCAAAATGTGTCAGTTTTCCACCTCAAAAACTGGATCAACTATGTGTGCAATGCATGGCAAGCCTAGCCAAAGAGGCAACATGACTCTAGTAGACTTTGTCATTGTCCAGCTCATGAATCTTTCATTCAGAACCTATAAAAAAACAGTCTCTTCCCTTCTTACCTTTATTAGCCTGAAAGATCCCTTAAATCATCTGAATGGTTGCTTGATGCAGCATCCATAGGGGAACTATCTGTTCCCTATTTATTAAGGAAGGCAAATCAGATGCTATTTCTGTAGAGCAAGAATCATGATTTAGTACCAAGAAAATCCATCTTTCGGGCTGTGTTTGCAAAAATGGTAAAACATGCCATTTTGTACCACTCACATGAAATTGCATAATCACGTTCTGTGATGGTATGTGGGAATGACCTTGGGAGACAGGAGGAAGACCCGCCGCCTAGTAGAGAAAGTGGAGAAATACTTTCAGTCTTGCAGGATTGATCCTAGCCCTGCGAGGTGGTCCAGACCAGAAGCCCAACCAGGAGTGCTAGATCTATCCTTATTACAAGGTTGCATTAACAGAATCTTGCAAGGCTGAAAGTATTTCTCCCCTCCTCTCCTTTTACTCTCTGGAAAACTAGGGAGGGTCCCTTCTGAAACGGGTCCCATACTTTCTCCCCACCTGCAGACTGAGCCGTAGTCTAGGCAGTGGGCCTTCCTCCTGTCTCCCAAGGTCATTCCCACATACTATCACACATTCCCATGGTTTAAATAAACATCACACTCGTAGAGATACTTTAAACAGGTTTGCGGAAAGAGTTACAGTTGTCTCATAATTACAAAAGCATCCGTGGATGGAAAATGTCTAATTTCCTCCATTAGCGATGTGCAGTGTATGCTGGGTCGACTAGTTTCCAGTCAGATAGAAATTAAATCTGCCCTCCATTTTTTGACTTAGAGAAAAAGAAAAGCGTTGCGCACCTCACACCTGTGTGCAAAACTGTAGGCCAACTTCCAGTGGGCAAGCAACATTATCAAATGCTTTTGGTGACTGAAAGGGTGAAGTAAGCCTGGCAATTTGCAAAGGGGATGGAACCATTTGATATATATGGACACAGTCAGGGTTTTGCCTTTTCCTGGGGGGTGGGGAGGGAAGAGATATTGTTTTAATAGGTGTCAAGCTTATTCTAGTACTCAGAGTCTCTATTTTCCATCTCAGAACAAGGGAAAGCCATGTTGATTTTCAGTTTTTTTTAAGTCATGGTGGTGGCTTCAACCATGCAATTGAAGCCCCATCCCATTTACATGTATCATGTGAGCAGTGCACATTAAAAAGACAGGGCTTCAATGGTGCAGCTACCATTTTGACTGTTTTGACCCGCCTGCAAATCCCCCTTGCTTCAGGTTGCCCATCCTTGCTACAGCCGTGTGTTATGTTAGCCATTCACTTGCTGCATTCACACAACACACTCAGCCTACTTACTGAATTGACCCATTTTCTGGTTACACACAAATAACAAACCATAAATTAATCAATAGCTGGGCTCGCTCCAAGACACGAAAAGAATTAGCCAAGGGTAACTGTAGCCAAGTGTAGTATGTTAGGTCACAAGTCTTTACCTGATCTGGTTAAGCTATTAATGCAGAAGACATTTAATTAAAACAACAAATCATAGGGAAGTTATGGGGTGGAATTGAAAAAATAAATTTAAAAATGTGAAATCTTAAAAGGTGACCATCATTTGTATTCCCCTATGAAATGGAAGGAGAATTTGCACTTGGTAGAAATTCAAGGAAAACCAGGAAATCTTGTTTTACTAGGCTGTGTAATGATTTGCATTCACACAACACAATAAGTCTGAACAGTTTTAAATCTGGTTAGGTTTTTCAGTAGTTTAGGGTATTCCATGACCCCAGGTTCTTTGATGACTTTGTTTCAAGACATTCTGCAAATAAAAAATGGGTTCCTTCGGGGTATGAATGCAGCCTAGAAGTAGCAACATTTGCCTATAGAATTAGGGTGTGTTTGCTCACCAGTAGTCTAGGGTGACCAATGTCTTGGGCAAGCAATATATGAAAACATGTTGGGTTCACGCTCTAGATGGATGGAGGACAATTGAGTGAGACACAATGCCTAACTTTTCTGCCTTCCCCAACCTCCCTTATGATTATGTATCTGGGAAAGGTGAGAGAGAAGTTCAATAAACTGCCTAAACCAGTGTTTCTCAACCTTGGGAACTTTAAGATGGGTGGACTTCAACTCCCAGAATTTCCCAGCCAGCCATGCCTAAACACTGGCCTAAATATTTGAAAAAGCTCATCAGAAATACTGTATTAGAAATCCCACTGAGATTTTTTTTCCCCTCACAATGCTTGATCTGACTTAGAAATTAGATAAGATAAACTTTGGGAGGTGGTAAGTTGCGAATGGAAGAATTTTTTAAAATTGTGCATTTGTTTGTAGGAAAGCCTAATGAAAATTAAAGGTGGGACGCTTAGAAATTAAGGAACACCGTGCATTAATGTTAAGTCAATGACACAGGACAGTGGCTGTCACAGAGCAACTTATACAAGGCTTGAAGCAGTTTTGAGGTGGTGCAAAAACTAAACAGCCACCAGTCCTCTCTGACATGAGTTGGTTGATGCTATTTCATCACTAGTGACTTACAGCGTCCTCCAACCGTCATTATGCCAATATAACAGTACCAAAGATGGTGGCTGGGTGACACCATGAGACGCTCTAAACTACTAGTGAGGAAATAGCTACAAATTCTTCCCCACCATTGTTGGTTGATGAATGGCCCCAGTGCACCCCTTTCCTTAGTCAAAATAAAACAAAGGACAAGGGGCAGTGCGCCTGTTCCCACTTTGCCAATTTCTCATCACAGAGAAAGTGGGGTTGAGCAAAACATGCCCCTTCAGAGGCGTTACTCACATGACTTTGTACTGATAGAACATGCTAAGTTGAAGGTCCCTACTTCTCCAGGGGTCTGCTGTAACTTAATAAGGCTGACCATTTGGAAGAAAAATGCTCCTCCCTTGAATCAGAATAGCAAATGGGGATGGCAGGGAGAGTAGCTCAAAAATCATATCAGCCAGACTACTTGGTGGCTTCCATGTTCTCCCCTTTGCTTTCATGGTAAACCAGTCTGCCTTTCCCCAGTTATCTCACAAATCACCTTCACGTGCGACCGCAAGAAAATACAAGGGGGGTTACCTTGGTCTCACCCAGTGGTCAATGAATTTAAAGTGCTTTTAGGCTTGTAGATCCCTCAGGTTATTCCACTGTTGGACATGGGGGGAGGAGTCGTTCAACAGAGCGCCCCCAACCCATGAATGGCGCAACCTTCTTGAGGGCCGGAGAATAAACAGGCAATATTGAAGGATGGGAGTGATTCCTCTGCCTCTCTCTACCTGTTCTTGCAGGCGCAAGACAAATTATACACCCATGAGATTCTCAGCATAAAAGCTCCTCGACCGGAAATCCGATGGGTGCCCTGGAGTGCCTCCTGGTTTCTGGGGAGCTGTCCAATTCTGGAGGTGCTGAACAGTCTCTGGGATGGAAAGAAGCCATTTTGACTGATTCGAATCATCCCGTGGCGACTCGCTTCGTCGTCAGCGTGTGTGCGTGTGTGCTGCGTGTGTGTGCGTGCGCGCGTGTGTTTTCAACGGTTGTTTCGATATTGCATAGCACAGGAAAATTTGATTAGAGTAAAAAAAAAAGGGAGGTCCCTGACAAAAGACCCATGCTTTTCCCACGGCGATATTCTGTGCAGAGGAGTTCACTATCCCGTGCATTTAGACTCTTTTACATTCCAGCTCAAACCAAAACGATGCAGCTGCTTGGGCCCCTTTCCCAGGTTCCCCCCGCAGCCGCACCCCCTCAGCCCCTAAAACTGTGCTTACTCGAAAGAGGGGCAAAGCCCCACCTGTCCTGCTCGACCTCTATTGCCTTCCCCCTCTCAATTCCCCATCCTGAAGAAAAATCGAAGGCTGGTCTCACAGGACCCGTGAATGACCCGCTGCCACCAATAAAATAAGAATTGAAAACATCAAATCAGGATCCGTTGGGGACCCTCCGCCCCGCCCGCTCCTGAGATCCAGGTTTACACTAAACGCGAAGGGACTTAGACTGAAGCAAGAAAACGCCGGAAGGGCGAAGATCCCGCGTGTTGCGATTCCTCTCGGCTGACTCCGTCTGGGATGGCGCTCTGGCCAAACTGCTGCCCTCTCCTTTTGCAGAAAGCCCCCTGCCAAAGGCGGACCCCTCTTGCGTCTGTTTTATCAAAATCCAATCCTTTTGTAAGAAAATAACTCTCTGGGATTGCCTTCCCCTCGACCTCGGGTTTCGCTCCCCAGAAAGTTGGCCGTTGCGTGCTTCTGCGCTGGGTTTTCCTTCCTTCCTTCCTTCCTCCTGCGGGGAGTCGGGAGGCGAGAGTCCAGAAGGAGACGGG